GCGCCCACTACCATCCCTGGCTAATTTTTGTATTTTTATAGAGACGGGGTTTTACCATGTTGGCCAGGCTGGTCTCAAACGCCTGACCTCAAGTGATACACTCATCTCAGCCACCCAAAGTGCTAGGATTATAGGCATGAGCCACTGCGCCTGGCTTTGATATATATTTTTTGAGGCAGGGTCTCACTCTATTGCCCAGGCTGGTGTGTAGTAGCCCAATCACGGCTCACTATAACCTCTGCCTCCCAGGCTCAAGCGATCCTTCCACCTCAGCCTCCTGAGTAGCTGGGCCACAGGCACATGGCACTACACCCAGCTAATTTTTCTATTTTTTGGAGAAACACGGCTTCATAGTGTTGCCCAGGCTGTTCCCAAACTCCTGATCTCAAACAATCAACCCACCTTGGCTTCCCATAGTGCTGGGATTACAGGCGTGAGCCACGGTGCTGGGCTGATGTACTTTTATAACACCCAACATGGCTCTAATATAGCCTCTTTCTTCTGCTAGACTGTAGCTCCACAAGAAAAGGGCTCATGTGTGTCTTGTTCACTGCTATATCCCCAGTGTCCAGAGCAGTGCCTGGCATTCAGTAGGAGATCAATATATATTTTTCATTGTCAAACCACATATATTGCTTGCTGTAAAGATTTGTAGCTTAATTTATAGTTGCCATCACTAATAAGTAATTATTTAGAGTTCAGCACTCCTAGTTAAGATAACCTGTCTATTGCCATGGCCAAGGCCCATACCCTTATAGTATAGTGTTTCCATAATTACATTTCCAAATGTATCTGACAGTGAACATTTTAAAAATGACAGTTTACTAACAATATTAAGCGTTCAGATTAATATAGTATATAAGTTTTCTACTGCTGCTTTAACAAATGACCACAAACTGAGTGGCTTAAAACAATGCAAATTTATCTTACAGTTCTGGGGGCCAGAAGTCTCAAATGAGTTGGCAGGGCTGCATTCCAGGTGGAGGCTCTAGGAGAGAATCCATCTCCTTATCTTTTTCAGCTTCTTGGAGGCTACCTGCATTCCTTGGCTTATAGATAGATTCTTCTCATGTCACTCTGGCCTCTGCTCACATTTCTTTCTGTGAATCTGACCCTCTTTTTCTTTTTTTTTTTTTTTTTGAGACGGAGTTTCACTCTTGTTACCCAGGCTGGAGTGCAATGGCCCGATCTCGGCTCACCGCAACCTCCGCCTCCTGGGTTCAGGCAATGCTCCTGCCTCAGCCTCCTGAGTAGCTGGGATTACAGGCACGCGCCACCATGCCCAGCTGAATTTTTGTATTTTTTAGTAGAGACGGGGTTTCACCATGTTGACCAGGATGGTCTCGATCTCTTGACCTCGTGATCCACCCGCCTCGGCCTCCCAAAGTGCTGGGATTACAGGCGTGAGCCACCGCGCCCGGCGAATCTGACCCTCTTGCCTCCCTCTCTAAGCATTATGTGATTAGGTGGGGCCCAGCTAATCCACGATAATCTCTTCCTCTCAAGAGCCTTAATAGAATTACGTCTACAAAGTCCATTCTGCCAGGTAGGGTAACATATTCACAGGTTGTGGGAATTAGGAGGTGGACATTTTGTGAGGCTGTTATCTAGCCTGCAATACATAGAAAGCAAAAGATGAACCCATAGATGAATTAATAATTAATTGCCACAATACATGATAAGAGATTTCCTTTTTTTCTTTTGAGATGGAGTTTCGCTCTGTCACCCTGGCTGGAGTGCATTGACGTGATCTCGCCCCACTGCAACCTCTGTTTCCTGGGTTCAAGCGATTCTCCTGCCTCAGCCTCTCAAGTAGCTTGGACTACAGGGATGCACCACTACGCTTGGCTAGTTTTTGTATTTTTAGTAGAGATGAGGTTTTGCCAAGTTGGCCAGGCTGGTCTCGAACTCCTGAGCTCAAGTGATCTGCCCCCCCGGCAGAAAACAAAGCTTTACTTTATTTTTTTTTTTGAGACAAGAGTCTCACTCTGTTGTGAGGTTGGAGTACAGTGGCACCATCTCGGCTCACTACAACCTCCGCCTCCCAGGTTTAAGCTATTCTCCTGCCTCAGCCTCCCGAGTATCTGGGACTACGGGCACATGCCACCACGTCCAGCTAATTTTGATATTTTTAGTAGAGACAGGGTTTCACCATGTTGGCCAGGATGGTCTCGATCTCTTGACCTTGTGATCCGCCCGCCTCGGCCTCCCAAAGTGCTGGGATTACAGGCTTGAGCCACCGCGCCCGGCCCTTCTAATGTATTTTAAGCTCTATATCAGAACAACCCATAATGTAGATAAAATAAATTATTTTATTAAGTAAAAACTTTCATAAATATATATCAAAATAATAAGACTTGGTCCAGCATGGTGGCTCATGTCTGTAATCCCAGAACTTTGGGAGGCCTAGATGGGCAGATCACTTGAGGTCAGGAGTTTGACACAAGCCTGGTCAACATGGTGAAGCCCCATCTCTACTAAAAATATAAAAATTAGCTGGGCATGGTGGCACATGCCTGTAGTCCCAGCTATTTGGGAGGCTGAGGCAGGAGAATCACTTGAACCCGGGAGGTGGAGGTTAAAATGAGCTGAGAGGGCATCACTGCACTCCAGCCTGGGGGACAGAGCGAGACTCTGTCTCAAAAAAAAAAAAAAAAAAAAAGAAATAATAAGACAAGATACCTAACATAAACCAGTACTTATTAAATAGACATACATCAACTTAATGGTTGCTGAAGCATGTGCAGATACATTTTCATGCTTTCATGAATTCTGAGATTTCCTGGTTGTATAATATTTTCAGGTAGGACCAACTTTTTTTTTTTTTTTTTTGGAGACAGTTTCGCTCTGTCTCCAGGCTGAAGTGCAGTGGTGCAATCTCGGCTCACTGCAACCTCCACTTCCTGGGTTCAAGTCATTCTCCTGCCTCAGCCTCCTGAGTAGCTGGGACTGCAGGCACGCGCCACCATGCCCAGCTAATTTTTGTATTTTTAGTAGAGACGGGATTTCATCATGTTGGCCAGGATGGTCTCAATCTCTTGACCTCATGATCCGCCCACCTTGGCTTCTCAAAGTGCTGGGATTACAGGCATGAGCCACTGCACCCAACCAGTAATTAAGGGTAATTATGCAGTTTTTTTTTTTGAGACAAGGTCTCACTCTGTCACCCAGATTAGAATGCAGTGGCACAATCTTGGCTCACTGCAACCTCTGCCACCTAGGCCCAAGCGATTCTCTGGCCTTAGTCTCCGAAGTAGTTGGGATTATAGGCATGCACCACCACGCCTAGCTAATTTTTGCATTTTTAGTAGAGATGAGTTTTCACCACGTTGGCCAGGCTCATCTCAAACTCCTGACCTCAAATGATCCACTGCCTCTACCTCCCAAAGTGCTGGGTTTACAAGAGTGAGCCATCATGCCTGGCCTGGTAATTATCCAATTATACTAGCAGTTACATAAAAGAGTATAGTGTTTTTTTCTGCCATATATATATACATATGTATGTATATATATCTTTGTATTTTGAGACAGGGTCTCACTTTGTCCCCCAGATTGGAATGCTGTGGCATGAACATGGCTCATTGCATCCGCGTTCCGGGCTTAAGTGATTCTCCCACCTCAGCCTCCCAAAGTAGCTGGGATTACAGGCGTGCGCCACCACTAGGGTAATTTGTATATTTTTTTGTAGAGACCAGATTTCATAAGGTTGTCCAGGCTGTTCTCAAACTCCTCAGCTCAAGCGGTTGGCCCACTTCAGCCTCCCAAAGTATTGGGATTCTAGGCATAAGCCACACCGCTCCTGCTCCTGACATATATTCTAAAATAAGTTTTTGGCTGTGCACAGTGGCTCATGTGTGCCATCACACCACTTTGGGAGGCCAAGGCGGGTGGATCACTTGAGGTCAGGAGTTCAAGACCAGGCTGGCCAACTTGGTGAAACCCTGTCTCTACTAAAAATACAAAAATTATCCAGGCGTGGTGGCATGCACCTGGAATCCCAGCTACTTGAGAGGCTGAGGTAGGAGAATCACTTAAACCCGGGAGGCGGAGGTTGCAGTGAGCCAAGATGGTGCCATGCACTCTTGGAGCCTGGGCGACAGAGTGAGAGACTCTGTTTCAAAGAAAAAAAAAGAGAAAAAAGTTTTAGATGAAAAATATAATTAGCATTAATTATTTTCTATAAATACCTATTAACATCCTGCAGTATTGTTTGGGGGAAATTATAATAAAAACCTACTCGGGGAAAATCGAATCCAATATTCTTGATAGTTTAATTTAAAAGGCTGTGGTTAGATATTTTATTTTCAGTTGTCTAGCAATGTCACATGAATGACTAGTACAAAATGACAGTTTTACAATGGGCTGATGGGTAAAGCTGTCAGCTGGCTCTTTCAGGTAAGAGCCTCTCCTGGTGGCTGCATCCTGATTATCAACTTTGCTCATTTAGGAATTTCAATAATTTGATCAGTTCATCCAGGGCTGATCTGGCTCTGACACATGGGCAGAACAACAATCTTCATTAGTGTCTGCAGAGATGGAATGTGTGTGTATGAAGGATCCAAGAGGACTGTGATAATTGTTTTGGGGTGGAAACAGGACAGAGTGTGCTGTATTCCATCTCCACCCCTCTCCACCTCTCTAGGTTTTTATCTGTTTTATTTTGGCTATACCAGTATGTCTCTCTTTTTCTCAGTGTACCAGTTTAGACTCTTCCCTTGATGGAAAGTGGCTCTTGAAAAGAGAAGAAAGACTAATGGGAGATAAGGATGCAGGCAGGTGTAATAGGTGATCAGGATGCAGCAGCCTAGAAAGAAGTTTAACTAAGCTGAAAAAAGACCTTAGGGATCACTCTGGTCCGCCTTCTACCCAAATCTGTAATTCTCTTATATGTGGAATAAATGCTGCTGATATTGTTAAAATATTAATATTCATCTGAAGTACCAAATATTTACTGAGAAATGGGGGAAAGCCTCTGAAAATATGTTTTTCTACAGGGAAAAAACATGAAGAAAAAACATGATGACATTGTTTACGAAACTAAAGAAATTCTCGATCCATCTCCCAAAGTAACAAATTGTTGCAAATCACTGCGGGTAAAATACAGTTTTCAGACAGCATACATGATCCGACTTGTCAGCTCCCAGCCAGTTCCAGCCATGTCAAGGAACCCAGGTAAGATTTTATTTGGATTAAATTAAGATAAAGAGTTTACTTAGCATGTGTTTTTCTTGATATTAAGAACATAAAATTGGACATTATATATATAGAGACAGAGTATCGCTCTGTCGCCCAGGCTGGACAGGCTGGAGTGCAGTGGCATGATCTTGGCTTACTGCAACTTCTGCCTCCTGGGTTTAAGCGACTCCTGCCTCAGCCTCCCAAGTAGCTGGGATTGCAGGCACCCGCCACCACACCAGGCTATTTTTTTTTATATTTTTAGTAGAGACGGTTTTCACCATGTTGGTCAGGCTGGTTTTGAACTCCTGACCTCAATTGATCCGCCTGCATCAGCCTCCCAAAGTGCTAGGATTACAAGCATGAGCCATCATGCCCGACCCACATTAAATATATTATTTAAAAATTAACTATAAGAAGTCTTAGCTACTCGGGAGGCTGAGGCAGGAGAATCGCTTGAACCCAGGAGACAGAGGTTGCTGTGAGCTGAGATTGTGCCACTGCACTCCAGCCTGGCGACAGAGAGAGACTCCGTCTCAAAAAAAAAAAAAAAAAAAAAAAAGACAGTGGTAAATCTATTCATTCCAGTTCTTAGGTGGCAATAATCTAAAAGTGACTTTGCTTCATGGCACTAAATCTCTTAGTTTCTATTAGCCCTGAATCATTGCTGTGACAACCAATTAAGGTAATCTCGAATGGGCTAAAATAGATCAAATTTATCTTTTAATAAAAATTAGCCTTTTTTTTTTGAGACAGAGTTTCACTTTTGTTGCCCAGGGTGGAGTGCAATGGCGCAATCTTGGCTCACTGAAACCTCCTGGGTTCAAGCGATTCTCCTGCCTCAGCCTCCCGAGTAGCTGGGTTTACAGGCAGGCACCACCACGCCCAGCTAATTTTGTATTTTTAATAGAGACCGGGTTTCTCCATGTTGGTCAGGCTGGTCTCAAATTCCCGATCTCAGGTGATCCGCCCGCCTCGACCTCCCAAAGTGCTGGGATTATAGGCATGGGCCAGAGTGTCGAGAAAAAGTCTTTAAATTGGACGTGACAGTGTCTGTATTGTTAAGGTAGGGAACACTCAGATTAGATTTCTTCTTGATTTTGCCACTAGGGGAGAGAACATGTAGGAAAGATACGTTTGAAATTTTGCTTTGCAAAAATGTGTGATTCCTAAATGTCCCAGAATGCTGGAAAATTCAAGTTTTATGCTTTGAAGAGCATTAAAGGACAGTGTTAGGTAAATTTATGAGGTTTTAGATGAAAAATATGCTAGATATCTGAGAGGGATTATGAACATTAATTTCAACCTAATATCTAATTTTAAAAGAATTACATGCCAGTTGAGAAAGTAGAAATTTCAAGCATCCTGATAGTCGCTTGCCACCACACCAAATATGTTTTTTTGCTGTTGTTTTGAGACAGAGTCTCACTCTGTCGCCCAGGTTGGAGTGCAGTGGCACAGTCTCACTGTGCTCACCGCAACTTCCACCTCACAGGTTCAAGCGATTCTCCTGCCTCAGCCTCCCGAATAGCTGGGATTACGGGCGCCCGCCACTTTTTAGTAGAGACGGGGTTGGGGGGGGAAGGGGAGGTGAAGTGGGGGAGGTCCACCATGTTGGCCAGCCTGGTCTCAAACTCCTGACCTCCCTCTTTGGCCTCCCAAAGTGCTGAGATTACAGGCGTGAGCCACCGCACCCGGCTTGGTATCCATTTTTTTTTTTTAGAAAGAACTGAATTGACTGAAATTTTGAATCTTCATTTGTTAATTCCGTTGTCAGCAACAATTATTTCCCAAAGTCTGAGATTCTGTCACCTATGAACACCCTCTGGGAACTTGTATTTTTTTAAAATAGAGACATAATTCATTTAACATAAAGTTCACCCTTTTAAAGTGCACAGTACAGTGGATTTTGGTTACTCACAACATTTTGCAATCGTCGCCACTAATTCTAAGATCTTATATTTTATCGTAAACCCTTTCCGATGTCTTCACACTCTGCCTCCTGATCCTGATTCCTGGTGACGCTGACTGCTGTCTTCCGTTCTGTGGGCGTTGCCACATTTGCCTCAAATGCTTTCCTGATTACAGTTTCACTACAAAAGAAGAGGCAGGTGAAGGTACTAACGCTGCTACCCTTGCAGAGGAACAACCCACTACCTAATGTACATGCTTGTTTTCATGTCTAGAACTCTCGTTTTACCGTCCGCGAGGTATATGTCAACTCTTATTAGTGACTGGTAGTCTGGTGGGCCACCAGTGTGCTTTCAATGCCTGCCAAACAATTAGAAACCAGGGATCTCCCAATAAAGAGCTGCCTCCCATGTCCTCCCCCTTCTGGCCCAGGAGACCCAGGCTGCCTTTCTGTTCAGGCAGCAGCGCGTTTCTCCCCTTCATCTTTATGATACCACTGAAAAAATGAGGGATGTGCGGAATGAGGGGGCGGTGTGAGGGGCACGAACTTGTTATTACAGCGTCGAGAACGCCAGAGTATGCAAGGACGAAGAGAATAACGCGGGTGTCTCCTTCGGGGACCCGTCCTCTGTAACTCCGGCTCCCGCCAGTAGCCGTGGACGAGCTGTGCGCTCGCCGCCGCCGGCCGCGCCGCCACCTGCGCTCCCCATTGGCCACAGCCTGCTCACGTGACCTCCATTGCCGAACCTGCTCGGCCGCGCGCGCGCTTTTCCCGCCACGAAAAGCGGTGGGCGGGAGCGGGGGATAGCACTGGTCGCCCGCCCATCTAAGGTGGGCGAGGTGGTTCCAAGGACCTGGCGGCGCTCTCTGGCGGAGAGCCTGAGACAATGCCTGAGTACTGTCCAGAGGAAAATTTACTGAGGAAGCAGATTGAGGAGGTCCACCTCTCCCCTCAGCGGCCTCAGTCCGGGGCTGTGACACAGACAGACTGAAAATGGAAATCTCATGCGCTTCGTTGGCAGGAATGTGACTCGCTGAAGCCAAGATTTATTTGTTCCTTGGGGTGCTCTACACACAAAAATATAACTCTTCGGGGGAAAATACATAATTTTTGTATGAGGAATTGAAAGCCACTTTTTCTTTGAAAAGTTGAGGGTCATGGGAAGTCCGGAGTAACCATTCTGATACACATCATTTAAGGGAAATTAGAAGATGAGTAAAAGCAAAAGGGGGCCCTGCCCACCATTCCCGTGCGGGAATGGAGTGATTTGACGAGGGGCAGAGGTGTAATAATTACTGAGAAGAGAGGGCTAAATAAATAAATGTGTGTGCATGTGCGTGTAAGTAGTATAAATGGGAAATATAATTCTAGAAGTCAGTGGAGAGTCAGTTTAACTTATTTTTCTCTTTAAGCGTGCTTGGATGCCTTGCTTACTTTTGCCTTATTTATTTTTTGCTTCGAAGGCTCACCAACCTTCCTCCTCCAGATATACGTTTTCTTTTCTACTCGTTCATTCATTCCAGAAATACTAGGACCTACTATATTCCGGGCACTGTGCTAGGTACTGGGTGACAATGATAAATACAAATAGTACCAGTTCCTTCAGTCATGGAGCATTTGGTCTGGTAAAGGAAGCAGACAGTAGTTAATTGCACATTTCAATGTTAAATATAACGTGAAAAGTGCTAAGAAGAGGTCTGGATGCCATATGGGGGATTTGACCTAGTGGGGAGATCCGAGAAGGCTTACCTCAAGATGCAGCCCTGGACTGGAGACCTGAAGGGGTTAAGAGGCATGGAGGTTGGAGACAGAGGGAGCAGCTTGTGCAAGGAAGAACTGTGAGCCTCTCCCCTTCCAATGACTGCCCACCTCACCTATTTCCACTAAACATACATTAATCCTGCCCCTTAGTTCTCAAAAGACATTTCTTCTCTTAATTCCAAGTTCTTAGGGAGTGCCTGGTTGTAACCTACGATTGTTAAAGACAGTGTTATCCAATAGATAAGTATACATATCTAATATACACATCAATATACATTTAATATATAATACATATTAATATAAAGTCTAATAGGCATTATCTCTGTTTTCTTTTTATTTTTCAGAGATGGAGTTTTTCCATGTTGGTCAGCCTGGTCTCGAACTCTTAACCTCAGGTGATCCACCCGCCTCGGCCTCCCAAAGTGCTGGGATTACAGGCGTGAGCCACTGTGCCTGGCTTTTTTTTTTTTTTTTTTTTAATCTTTGTTGTTTTGTGTAAGAAAAATATACAATGACGGCCAGGCGTGATGGCTCACGCCTGTAATCCTAGCACTTTGGGAGGCTGAGGCGGGTGGATCACATGATGCTGGGAGTTTGAAACCAGCCTGACCAACATGGAGAAACCCCATCTCTACTAAAAATACCAATTAGCCGGGCATGGTGGTGCATGCCTGTAATCCCAGCTACTCCCATGCCTGTAATCCCAGCTACTCCCAGCCTTGGGAGGCTGAGGCAGGAGAATCGCTTGAACCAGGAGGCAGAGGTTGCAGTGAGCCAAGATTATGCCATTACACTCCAGCCTGGGTAACAGAAGCGAACTCTGTCTCCAAAAAAAAAAAGAAAAGAAAAATATACCATGATTGTAACAAATTGTAGTATATGATATATCCCAATAGTACTAAAAGTACTGTAGACAAAGTAGTGAGAAATCACATGATTTTGGAAAACTCGAAAAAGGCATTTTAGAGAAAGTAATTTTCAAAAATCATTGAGATAAGATTTGGTCAGATAAAGACACAATTTAGTTACAGCATAGGGTTCTAAAAGAAGAGTAAGGAGGCTGGACCAATCAGTTGAGATACATCCCAAGGGCTTTGCAAACCAGTCTGAAGAGTTTGTACAAACTAAGCCAGTGCAGTGACTTGCATCTGTAATCCCAGCTACTCCAGAGGCTGAGATGGGAGGATTGCTTGAGCCCAGGAGTTTGAGACCAGCCTGGGCAATGTAGCAAGACCCCATCTCTAAAATATTTAAAAAGTTTGTGGAAACTAAAAAGTTCATTTAAGTTTTGAGAACTTTTCTGAGATATCTTTTCTCCCCTAAT